ATATATATATATATATATATATATATATATATGAATAATTAACTTTTATTTTTATCCTTACTAATATATTTGAGATCTCTTTTAATTCATGTCATTTGACATTTGTTTATTAATTAGTTAATTTTACCAAATAATTACAATCATCTAACACCATATATAGTTAACACTAATAATGGTGAATATAACTATTGAGTTAATTTCTATAGTAAGATGGTAAAATCCAACATAAGAAAATTTTGATACAATCTTGTACATTTTCAACTTTTTATTATAATGATAAAAATATTTTAACTTTAATATATACATTTACATTTTCATCAAATATGAATTATTTTGCTATATAATTGTTAGCCTGATCAAATTCATTAATCTTATAGAGGGAAATAAGTGAAAAAGTAATACTTAAAAAAAATTTACTTAGTTAGAGGACAAAGAAGAGAATAAAATTTTAAAAAATAATTTTCTTCCACCTTACTCTTTCTTCAAATGTAAATTCATTTATTTTTCTTCCTTTGGTCAGTATAAATAATGTCGCGTCATGCATGTTATGTATTTTTGATGTGGAGAGGCGCCAAACCATAATGAAACGTCGAATATAAAACATAATTAAACCCCATTTCCGTGTATAACCCTAAACTTGATAGTTTTTATTTTCTACTTTAAAGGAAATAAATTAAGAAAAATTAAAAATTAACAATACACAATCATGTGTCGCACTATTTTTGGTTACAATGAAAAGAATACGCACTATGGAAAGATTGAATTTTTCATCATAATCCCCTAAAACACGACTTTCAATTCGCAGATGTGAACACTACATGGCAATTGGCAAGACTCCAACTCTCCAAGACCAGCAGAAAGCTCAATTGGGTTCCAATGATGCAGAATTAATATTAATTTGTTCTATAATTAATAGCCGAAACTATTAATTAAACATTAATAATGCTGCTTCCTAGAACCTGAATCTCCAACACAAGATCATGATGAATGTTGCAAGTGCTCTCGCCATTATTTTTGTTGACTTCGTGCAGTGGGACCATGTGGTTTCCAAAATTATATCCAACTTTTCTTGATTATTATTGGTGAACGTGACACCATGTTCTTCCTTGTTGTTCCCTTCTTCTTCTTCTTCTTCTTCGGCTAGTAAATGGGGTGGTGGATACTGCTCCAAATCTCTGCGTTCCCAGTCTTCAACATCCATGGCGCATTCCACGTCACTTGCTCCAGCCATTGCCAACGCTTCTAAAGAAACCAACATTGTCGATCACTGCTTATCGTAGAAAACCAAATTCTTGTCTATTCAGAGTACGTGGTTTGTCTTGTCTCAATTTCTAAGTTGCTGAAAAACGTTTTTGTTCTGGTCGTACGGTTGTGTTACAAAGTGTACTATATATAGGAAAACGGTCTCAGGTTAAAGCGTGTTGGTACTTGGTGAATCACGTGACACGAGAAATGTGACGTCAGCGAAGAACAGTGATCAAGACGGGTAATGGAGCTAGTGATGCAATTGCGAACATAGTTGCCATCGTCAAATTTCCCTCTGAAGAATAGTATGCATTGGAGGCGCCCACCATGAATATAATGTCCCGAGCATAGCCAGTTTTTTATTTTATCCAAAAGTTATTAACTTATTATAATGAAGAAATATAAGCCCAAAAGCTTAGTTTATGGAACTTCAAACGGGCTAGCCCATCAGTCCACACTCAATCGAGCTATTTGTTTCAATATATATTTTAATAAAAGTATTTGTACTTGTAAAAAAAAATTATGTTAAAATTAGTTTGTACATAAATTAATTATTTAAAAAATTAATATGAAAAATTTTCTATAAATTAGCTTATAAATTAATTGATTTCATTTTATAAAAAAATATTTATTTTCTTTCTTATTTTCTTCTCTTAGAGTAGTTTTAGATAAATTTATTTAAATAGAGTACCATGATTTTGAATGATAGTAAATTATAAAAAGAGGTTGAAAAAGTGGAAAATAATTAAGTTTTTTTATATAATTATATTATTGATATAAAATATCTATCAATTTTGTTATTAATTAATCTTCGTTGAAAACTTAATCGCTCACTTTTTTAGTAGGTCTCTCTCCTCTAACAACATTTTTTTCATTCAAATGGACTCAAACATGAGACATTTTTTTAAAATAATCAAATTCCATGTCATTCAGACTAACAATTTATTGGTAAAGAAAATGAACATGTATTGTACATACTATTTTAATTATTTTCACCTTGATAAATCAAAAATGAATTTAATTGGTTTTAATTATTTTTTAATAATTTATTCTTCAAATTTTCCCCCTTAATATTTTAATTATTATAATTGAAAACTTTAGTCCTTTTTTTCTTTTATATAAAACCCAAGTTCTTATTTGTTTACTATGTTAAGAAGCATTTTAGGACAAACTTAAGATAGAAAATAAATGAAAAGATCAAAAGTCAAAATTTTAGTAAAATTAAAAGAATATTTGTGATATAAAAGATTCATGGAGAGAAAATTTGCGAATTTCAATTTTAAGTAAAACATAATATAATATTTCAATTAATTAGAAGTCATCTTTGATAAATAAAAATAAATAAATTTAAGTTGTTTTATTAATAATATGATTTTTAAGATAATTATTATTAAATTGAATAAACTTACAATAAACAATAATAATATGATTAAATGACAATGTAAAAAATATTTTACACTATTGATACACATTTTATTTTCTTTTATGAAATGCTTAGAACCAAAGAGGTATCGGTCATTCAGTCTACTCCATGTCTTTATTACCAAATTGGTTTCAATAAACTGCAAGATTGGTATCATTAGCTTTGCTAATTTGAGTGCTGAAAAGACCCCTTATGTAATCGTGTTTCAAAAGGAGTTTGCAAAATGGCCAGACCCCAAAAATGATGGAAGATTGAAGCCGGCCGATTCCATTGTTATATGCGACAAAAGTACTCCAACAAATTTTTCGATTTCCATCTAATCCACCATGCATCAAAACCATCCTATTTCAATGTCATACATGTATATCATTTTATTTCATCATTTTAATATTTGTTTAGACACAAAATTAGTCGTTTTGTAAGCCATTATGTTATAAAAACGGTTTAATTAATCCTTCAAGTACATAAAGACATAATATCATAAATACAAATCAAGCAATATGAATATATATGAACTTTCCTAAATAGAGGCATGTGTAAAATGTTTGAATCTGTTGTGAGTCATGTCAAGTTACTAGGAAACCCTAACACTTCCCGCAAACAATAGTCATCAATGGACCCAAAGTCTTGGAAGAACCCTTCAGGCAACTCCTCAACCTCAAAGCGATTGCCCAATTCATCACTTTCACTAATCCCCATCCGATGATGATCGTCCACCACTTGCTTCCCTTTGTCGCACGCGAGCGCGGGCGCGTGGCCCTCAAACAGTGCCACGTGGCTGAACAGCTTGTCCTTCCGCGAGAACGTGGTCCCGCACGTGCACTTCCACCTGTCCTCTCCGCAGTGCTTCACGTGGCTCCTCAGATCCGCCAGCACCGAGAACCGCTTCGTGCGGCACAGCTCGCAGGTGTACATCTTCGGGCAGTGGCTCCTCTTGAAGTGGTTCTTCACGCACGCCACCGATCTCAGCGACCGGAACCG